ACTATATTAATTCTGCTGATGTCTCTTTTGCATTCTTTGTGGGTTCTTGGGTTTTTGTTTATTTATTTATTTTTTTTGAGGACCTAGCCTGGATTCTGAATCGACTTGTGCAAGACAGAAGTTTTGCTGGGACTCTAGTTCATAGCCTCTAGAGAGGTATTGCACAAATTCTAAACATTCTGGGTTTGAAGCCAAGGGTTGGGTGGCTCTGTTGCTTTTGCAGCTGTAGTTGTAATTAGAAACATTCTAGCTTCTCAACAGAAAGTTTACAGAGATCCAGATTTTTTAAAAGACTTTTTCACTTCCAAAAGAGATTTGTATATTTTTTGTTTGAATGAATGGAGTAGAATGGTGTTCAGATTCAAGAGACATGTACCTTTGAGATTGTTTCTATGAGCGGCAACCAATCTCACTGTTATTAGATTAAGATGGATTTATTTTTATTTTTATATTGATTGTTTCAAATAAATACCTTCTTCATTCTAGCATCATATGTCTTCAAGTGATCCAATACTGTCAAATCTTAAGTATGAAAAGCCTGATCACATTTGGTAGCAGAACAACATACAGACTACAAGGAGAACTACTTGCCCCCTGCTACAACCAATTCATTATACAGCTTTGTGGGCACTGATATTTGTGAATCTTGATTCCTGTGATGGTTAATGTTATATTGCAGAAATGAGAGCTGCAATTATTAGGTGTATTTCTCAATTGTTCTATTATGTGTGTATAAACACACACACATATGTATAGATACATGTATATATGAAGGACTTCAAGAAGTTCATGACAAAATGGAGTAAAAAGATAATGGAATTTTTCCATGAACTTTTTGAAGTTCCCTCGTATATGTGTGTGTTTACATGAATGTATATGCATATATGTGTGTGTATGGTGCTGTAGGATAAGTGTTGGACTGCTAACCACAAGGTTGGTGGTTCAAACCCACCATCCGCTCCTCAGAAACCATATACAGGGTCACTATGGTGGTGCTTGACAACAGTATGCTGACGGTGGTGTTTGTGTGCAGCTGAGTCAATGCCAAGTCATAGCTACCCTGTGAAGGGTTTTCAAGGCAGTAAATCTTTACAGGAGTAGAAAACTTCATCTTTATCCTGTATATTTAAACTGCTGACCTTGAATTAGCAGCTCAATGCATAATCCATAACACTACCAGGGCACCATATATATATATGTATATGGAGTGGCTCTGTAGGATAAGTACTAGACTGCTAACTGAAAAGTTGGAGGTTCAAACCCACCAGCTGCTCCTTGGAAACCCTATACAGGATCGTTATGAGTTGAAACCAACTCGAATATTAAATATTGCTTTCTTCCTTCCTTTATCCCATTACTTATTATAAAAAGCAAAAGAGTCTAGTTCGTTTTAGGCTCTACACATGTTATTTGTATCATGTAAGCACAAGTATGATTTTATGGTTGTCTTTATTTAGAGATTATGTATGGTTTAAGGAGATGTGTATAGATGTCAAGCAGTAGATTGGTGGATAATGTTATGTGCCATGTTGGCTAGACTGTGATTCTCATTCGTTTGGCAAATGCTATGTAATTACCTGCCATTTTGTAAACTGTTGTGAGCAACCAATTAGTTGAAAGGGGACTTTCCTTGGGGGTGTGGCCTGCCTCTAGTGCATAAATGTATATTCTGGCAAATTTCACTTTTTCTTTCAATCCTGCATGCTTCTCATCACCTGACCTGCAGATTTTGGATTCCTCAGCCCCTGCAACCTGTGAGCTAGCAGAAACCTTCAACCTGCTCCCTGTCCACAGATTTGGGATTTGCCAGTTCCCAAAATTGCATAAGCTATTTTCTAAAAGTAAATATATATACATATATATGGTGGTTATTGTTATTAAGTGCCATGGAGTTGGTTCCAACTCATAGCGACCCTAGAAAGGATTTCTGAGGAGTGACTGGTGGGTTAAACTGCCAACCTTGTGACTAGACACACATTCTCTCTCTCTCTACATACATCTATCTATCTATCTATCTGTCTATCCACATACATACATATATGTATATGTATGGAGTCCTAGTGTGGTGCTATAGGATAAGCACAGGACCGTTAACCAAAAAGTCGGTGGTTCCAACATACCAGATGTTCCTCAGAAATCCTATCCAGGGTTATTGTGAGTCAGAACTGACTCCACGGCACTTAACAACATATTTATTTTTTGTATTTTTAGAGATACACTGATTTTCTTTTTCACTGATTTTGTTTCCAGAGAACCCAGATTAGGAAAATCCCCAAATAATAACGACAACACTTTCAGATGTCTATATTTTTGCATTTTCAGATTTCAAGTTCGAGGTTGTTCCAGTCCCAGCGGAGGTTTGCTTCTACCATTAGTCATGCCTGCCCTTCCCAAGCACACGCAGCAATGCACGTAGTGCCTCAAGAGAGTCGCTCACTTCAAAGCATCTTTTTTTTTACTTCTCATACCTCCTAAAATCTGCCTTTCTTGGCAAAGCTCAAAAACAGTAAACACAAAAAGTATTGTAAAGCCCTGGTTTTTTGTATGTGTGTGTGTTTAAGAAAAAATAAAAAGGAATGAGAACTAATAACAATATCTCCTATCACTAAAGGGGGGAGGGAACAGAAATAAAAAAAACTAGGAGACACTTTTTACGTTCCTAGAGTTTGAGAAACAGGATAGCTGAGTGTTTGAAAGGATAGATTTGAAGTCAAACTCTGTTTCCTTATCTGTAAAATAGGAACAATAGTACCTGCTACATGGGTTGTTGACTTCTGGTGTGGAGCTGTAGGATCAGAACTGGACTGCAGTTCAGTTCACAAGGTCAACTGTTCAAACCCACCAGCTACTTCTTGAAAACCCTATACAGAACTGACTCGATGGCACATCACAACAAAAAAACTCAGGTTGTTAGGAATCCTAGTGATTCAGTGATTAAGTACTTGACTGCTAACTGAAAGGTCCGTGGCTCAAACCCACCAGCCACTAAGCAGAAGATGTGGCAGGTCCACACACTGACCTACAAGGTCACTGTGAGTAGCCATTGACTTGACAGCACTGGATTTACTAGGGCTGTTAGCAGTATCAAACAGGAGACTAAAAATAAAGCTTTTAGGGTACGGCATGGCTCAAAGCAAACTCTCAACAAACAGTAAAGCTTACTATTATTGTTTTTGTTGTTGTTATGTGCCGTGGAGTCAGTTCCGACTCATAGCGACCCTGTACAGGGTTTCCGAGGCTGTAAATCTTTACGGGAGCAGAAAGCCTCATCTTTCTTCTGCTGAACACCTGGTAGTTTCAAACTGCTGACGGTGAGATTAGCAGCCCAATTTGTAACCACTACACTACCAGAACTCCTTTACTATTATAATACATATAAATTTTTTTTAAAGTGTAAGACGGAATGACTTTGTGTTTACTTAGGCAAACCACTTTGGGATTCAAGTTCCTCTAAATAAGTATGGACTAAAAATGACTTCGTTAAGTGTTCCTTCCAGCTCATTGTTTGCCAATGGGATGTTGTTTTTCTTGTTAAGTGCTGTTGGTTCCAGCACATAACAACCTTGTAGAGGGATTACCAGGAGTGACTGGTGAGTTTAAATTGCCAATCCTGCGGATCAAGTTGTCCTTGTGGTCGAGTGCTTATCCTACAATGCCACACCACTGGAGTTGTTGGTGTTGTAAAGTGCTGTCGAGTCGATTCCGACCCATAGCAACCCTGTATTGGGTTTCTGAGGAGCAGCTGGTGAGCTGAACCGCCGACCTTACAGTTCAAATGGCTTTGCAGTCTGGCGCATTAACCCACAGCGCCACACCAGGACTCCACCATTGGGGTACGACTAACAAACTGACCTGCAGCCCAAAACATTTACAGCATGTGAGATTCTTATGAAGGAGCACTGGTGGCCTACTGGGTTATGTGTTGAGCTGCTAATGGCAAAGTCAGCAGCTTGAATCCTTACGAAGGCATAGAACCAAGTTTCAAACTTTACAAAGTCAGTGGGAGGATGGAATAGGTGAGAAAATGGAGCTGGGAATTTCTCATGAGAAGTATCCCTCTTCTAAAAGGCCAACTATTAAATCACTTTGTTGTTGTTAAGTGCCATCGAGTCGATTCCAACTTATAGCGACCCTGTATAGGGTTTCCAAGGAGCAGTTGGTGAGCTTGAACCACTGACCTTAAAGTTCAACCTATTTTGCAGTCTGAGGCATTAGCCCATAGCGCCACACTAGAAACTGCCTAATTTGGAGTGAGACAGCTATCTATAACATTGCAAATAAACATTTGGTGGAAATTAGGTAGGATACATAGGTCGTAGTTATTAATGTGAATCAATTTCTTTCTGTTTAATGGATAAATGAGTGAAAGAATGACTCCAATCTGCTTCATTAATTGTTTTTGATATCTTTAATATTTTATTTCATTCCATGAAATGAACACTTTAAACAGTGCTAGGAATCCTGGTGTGGTGCTGTGGGCTAATGAGTCAGACTGCAAAGTCGTTTGAACACCAAGGTTGGTGGTTGAAGCTCACCAGCGGCTCCTTGGAAACCCTATACAGGGTCGCTATGGGTCTGAATTGACTCGACGGCACTTAACAACAACGAAGTATGGCACTGGAGTCCTGGTGTGGCACTGTAGGATAAGCACTCAACTGCAAGGTCGGTTTGAATTGCGACGTTGGTGGTTCAAACTCACCAGCCACTCCTTGGAAACCCTCCCTATACTGTTGGAAACACTGTATAGGGTTACTATGAGTGGGAACCAACTGAAAGGCACTTAACAACAAGAAGTGTGGCACTGTAGGATTAGTGGTTCAAACCCACCATCTGTTCCTTAGAAGCCCTACATAGGTCACAGAACCTTAGAAATTCCTCGTTCACTGTTGCTTCCCATTTATTACATAATTTTGTGTGCTAGTATGTATATAAGCTTTGACCCACAAATAATACCCACAACAATTTTAGATGTTTATATTTTTGCTTTTTTCAGGTTTAAAGTTGGAAGTTTTTCAGACCATTATATGAAAATGCTGCTGATTTTTTTCCTCATAATAATTTGTTCCCATGTTTCTGTGAACCAGGACTCTGGTAAGGCAAAAAAAGAGAGAGAGACTTATTTTCCTTAACTTTCATTGTGGTAAATAGATAATATGCATATTTGACCTACTTAAAAGTCAAGAATTTTATTATTGTGTTGGTCTATTTTTATTTTTGGTGTTTTATTTTTGGTGGTCAAAGTGGTGGCAGTTTGATTCCTTATTAATGTCATCTCTGTTCCTTTAAATATCATTTGTTTCTGGGCCTTTTTCTTTGTTAACAATAAACAGATGAAAGCTGTCATTTTGTCCTCAGTTTCAACCCCTTTTGGCTCACTGGGAAGTTACATGAAAATTCTATCCATTAACATTAGGTTCAGTCCTGGAAAATCTGGAATGTCTCTTCCTAATTCATTTGTGCCCAAGTGATATCTTGGTGAAGTGCCCAGAATTTGCACCGATTTAAACTGCTTGTTTGCTTATTGCAAACAAAGTGCATTCCCACTGGACAGGAAGTTCTACAGTTACTTTCTACTCACACAGGCACTTAGTCTTGAACCTAATGATTCTCTCCTACATAAAATATATAATTCTAGATACCTAGTTTTGAATCTATCATTGGATAAAAATTTTAAAGTTAAGAAGAATATTGTATTCCTACAGAAAAATTACACTTTGATGAGAACTAAAACTATAATCCCTTTCCTAGCCCGAGATATATTGGTTTTCATCACATTCTACATATGTGAGAATACATTTACCAATTATAATGCCTACTCATATGATTTCTCAAAAAACAACCTTAAATAGATTAAGGCAAACTCGTATTTTTTAGACCTCCAAGTTGATACTTTGAAATATAAAACTAATGTGTTTTATAAATTGGTCTGTTCATCTGTTGTATTGTTTAAATGGAAGTCACAATGACAGACTGTCTTTCAAATTTCACCTTTTAAACAAATTCAAAGCAATTTGATTCTTGATTAAAATTTTTATCCTGTTGATATAAAGTGGGATCAAATTTGGAAACTAAAAAAAAAGTCAAAGGAGAAATTATTCACAAAAGGTATAAACATGATTTTTTTTTTTTAAACTATATTTACCAACTAATTCCTTGTGCAAGCTATGGTTAATTTTGGAATTAGTTCAAATGAGGGGCTATAATTAATGAATAGGGTAAAGAATCAAATAATTTATTTTCCTTGAGAGAATTGTAAATTTCTATTCTTTGGGAAGGAAAGAAGAAAATAAAAGAGGAAAGTAAGTTTTCTTTCATATAGTTGGCATTAAACATGACAGCAAGTGTTTAAAGTTTTGGCTTTGTGTGTTTGTTGTGGTTTTGTAGGCCCTGAGTATGCAGATGTTGTGTTTCTGGTGGACAGCTCTGATCACCTGGGAGCTAAGTCCTTTCCATTTGTGAAAGCATTCATCAACAAAATGATCAACAGTCTCCCCATAGAGGCCAACAAATACCGGGTGGCCCTGGCCCAGTACAGCAACAAACTCCACAGTGAATTCCAACTGAGCACCTTCAAGAGCAAGAACCCCATGTTGAACCATCTCAAGAAGAACTTTGGGTTCATTGGTGGATCCCTGCGGATAGGAAATGCCCTTCAGGAGGTTCACAAGACCTATTTTTCTGCACCCACAAATGGAAGAGACAAAAAACAGTTTCCTCCCATCTTGGTGGTCCTAGCTTCGGCCGAGTCTGAAGATGATGTAGAAGAGGCAGCTAGGGCCCTGCGGAATGATGGGGTGAGAATTGTCTCTGTGGGAATGCAGAGAGCTTCTGAGGAAAACCTGAAGGCCATGGCCATGCCTCAGTTTCATTATCACCTTCGTACAGCCAGAGACCTCAACACATTTTCCCAAAATATGACGCAGATCATCAAGGATGTAACCCAGTACAAGGTAGCAGAAGCCAAAGATGTCCTTGTAGAAGGTGGGTTTACATGTAGAAATGATGACAAGATGCTTTTGAAAAGTCAGCATAGAGAGAATGGAAATACTATGAAGATTCCTTGTCCCAAGGCTGAATTTTCAGAATGTTAAATATATTGTGTTCTAGAAGGCCCAACAATTGTGGCCACTTAAAACCCAGTGAACCCACAACCTTGCTTCTTTCTCTACATATAACTTACTTGTATTGTGCACCACTCACAGACTTTTTTAAAATCCAGGGCTACCATCTCCCTGGCACCCAACTTAATTCTAAGTGACTTCCTTGGGCATTAGCTACTATGTCATTTTTATTGTGGGTGAATTAAAAAGGCAAATTTGCTCCTAAAAAAATTCTTGACTAGTGAATTGACATGATTTAATCACAGAATCTTAAAGCTAGAAACAACTTCAGATAATCCAGGTCTCTATGGGGTGCTGTAGGATCAGCACTGGACTGCCAACCACAGGGTCAGCAGTTCCAACCCTATCCGCTGCTCACTCAAAAGCACTTAACAACAACAATCTATTTTTTGGAGTGGAAACTGTGGTTATCCTTAGAGATGATGTGGAAATTTGAAGTTAGAGCAGGATCAGGTGTTCTGAGCCCCCGGCCATGTGCAGGTCACTCTGCTTCCCTCCCCGCTGCTTTGTTCTGAGTATTTTTCTTGTGGGAATCTCTGAAAATATAAACCCTTATTATTGACCATCCCTTGATAGTATTTGGATTATATCTCCTGATTATGATATTGATGATGATTGAAATTATTTTAATATGACAGTCATTGTTGTTGTTAAGTGCCATTGAGTTGGTTCCAACTCATAGCAACCCTCTGTAGGGTGTCCAAGGCGTAGCTGGTGAGAATGAATCACTAACCTTGTGGCTCAAACTGACCTTCTAGTCGAATGCTTATACTACAGTGCCACACCAGACTCCATAACAGTCATGTTGTTGTTAAGTGCTGTTGACTTGGTTCTGACCCATAGTGACCCTGTATATGGTTTCCAAGGAGCAGCTTGAACCACTGACCTTGCAGTACAAACCAACTTTGCAGTCCAGCATATTAACCCACAGTGCCACACCAGGACAGATATAGATACTGGTCATTAAATAAAGCTAAGTACATTATCTTATTTAATCCCCATAACAACTGTTCAAGTATGAAGTAATTTTTATTACTATTTTCTCCATTTTACAGAAAGGGAAACTGAAGCTAGGTGTTTGGGCAAAATCCAATATTGGATCCCAGTCCCTCTGATTTCAGCTTCATAATCACTTCATATAATTCCTTCTTTCTTTAAGGGTACAGCCAAGCTGTGGCAGATGTTCTTCATGCCTTCTAATTCTGAGCAGAGATGCTGAACATCCAACTAAAACTATGCTTATTCCTTTCTTGCCTGCACAGTTTGCCAAGGCCTTTCTGTGGCTGACGTTGTATTCCTATTGGATGTGTCCATCAATGGTAGCCAGGAGAATTTTGACTATCTTAAAGACTTCCTGGAAGAGAGTGTCTCTGCTCTTGACATAAAGGAACATTGCACGAGGGTTGGCCTTGTGGCCTATAGTAATGAGACAACAGTGATCAATTCATTGAGCAGAGGCATAAATAAGTCAGAGGTTCTCCAGCACATACAGAACCTGTCTCCCAAGTATGGAAAGGCCTACACTGGAGCTGCCATCAGGAAGATCAAGAAGGAAGTCTTCAGTGTACGGGATGGCAGTCGGAAGAATCAAGGGGTGCCTCAGATTGCAGTGCTGGTGACACATAGACCATCCGAAGACAATGTGACCAAGGCAGCTGTGAACCTCCGGCGTGAGGGTGTGACCATCTTCACCATGGGCATAGAGGGGGCCAGTGACACACAGCTGGAAAAGATAGCTTCTCATCCGGCCGAGCAGTACGTCTCGAAACTGAAAACATTCCCTGACCTGGCCGCCCATAACCAGACTTTCTTGAAGAAGCTGAGGAATCAAATAACACACACAGTTTCTGTCTTCTCTGAACGGACAGAAACCCTCAAATCAGGTAAGGTCTTTGCTGCAGAAAGATTTTTCAAGCCAATTTTTTCTTTCTTCTTTGTCTCATCTCTTTTCGTCTTTCATGCTTTATATATACAAAAGGTATTAAAGGGATGCGGTATGAGTGAGAAAAACAAGTCTCTAATTTTTCACTTTAGATTGATAATACGAAGTGTATTTTGCAGGGCGATATAGGCTATTTACATTGCCCAAAAAGAGAAGGAATTTCCCTTTTTACTTCCTATTTTGGGGAGTTCTAATTTGATTAATTTTATGGAGAACGGAGTATGATTTGGCTCTGTGGTTTAACACGTTGGACTACAAACTCAGTTTGAACCACAAGGTCTGTGGTTCACTATGGGTCAGAACTAATTTGATGGCACTTTACAACAACAACAATCCCAGAATACCATACTTGGCTATTTTTCTTCCTTCTATTTTTTTTTTTTTCTCTCTTCCCTTTTTCTCTCATGTTCCCTTTCTCTTTCCTTTACTCTCTTCTTTTAACTTTTCATTATAGATTGAGTGAAAATTTACAGATCATCAGTTATGTTTTCAATGAACCACACACTTTGTTTCATTTGAATGATTATAATCCTTTCATGTAACATCACTTATCCCACTTTCTGTGATTCTTGTTTCTATTCCACCTTCTTTCCCAACCTTTCTGAATTTTTGTCCTTAGGTAAATGCTGCCCTTTCCATTTTGAATGCTTGGCCATTCCATGGTATGCATACCTTACTTGTGTTGTTGTAACCCTTATATACCTATCTATTGCTTGGCTAAAAGTTGAACCGCAAGGGTGAGTTTTGGTCCAAACCTAAAGGGTGACCAAGGGCCACTGTCTTGGGTTTCTCCAGTCTCTTTCTGACCAGTAAACCTGTTTTGTTTTGTTTTTGTTTTTTTAAAACATTTTTTAGTTATGTTCTCCCATGCTATCCAGGACTTTTCAGAACACTAGTGGTAGCCAGGTACCATCTAGTTATTCTGTCTCAGAGTTGTGGAGACTAATATTCACATGCTCCATTTGTCCATTGGGCCAGCTGATTCCAAGTGAATCAATTTTCATCATTCTTCTTTTATTCATACAGGAAGAGACCAATGGATACTCCTTATATGGCCACTCATGAGCTTTTAAGATCCTTGTAGCTACTCACAGTAGAACATAGAACATTGTATTCATGGACTATGCCATGTGAACTGACCATGGTGTCCTTGAGACTATTGTCCTGAGCCCCCAGGCACAGAAACTCACTCCTTCAAGGTGCTTGGTAATGCTTGAGAAGTTTTCATAATTTTTACCCTGTATGCTCCACCACATTCTTGGATTTGTTTGCAGCAAAAGTAAATACTGCTGTATAAATATCCTTTGTCAAACAAGTCTATATGTTTGTGGGGGATATTCCCACTCTTAATTCTTTTCTTTTGATATTTCTTTCTCTCTCTTTTCTTCTTTCCTTATCTTCAAACTCCAATTTATGGAATAAATAGAAAGTATAAATTTGGTAGGAACCCTGATGGTGCAGTTAAATCACTTCACTGCGAACTGAAAGATTGGCGTCTCAAATCCACCAGCTGCTCTGAAGACAAAGATGTGGCAGTCTGCTTCTGTAAATATCATTACTGTTAAGTGCTGCCAAGTCGGTCTCTACTCACAGGGTTTCTGGGGCTATAAATCTTTTTCTCCCAGCGACCTGCTGGTAGTTTCTAACTGCTGACTATCTGATTAGCAGCCTGACTCATAACCACTATGCTACCAGATCTCCTTTGACTTATAATGTTGTTGTTGTTAAGTGCCGTTGAATTGGTTCTGATGCATAGCGATCCTGTATAGAGTTTCCGAGGAACAACTGGTGAGCTTGAACTGTCAACCTTGTGGTTCAAACTGACTTTGCAGTCCAGTGGATTAACCCACAGCACCACACCAGAGCTCCTTAGACTTATAATGTTGTTGTTGTTGTTGTTAGACATCATTATAAAGTCACACAGCTGGTTAGTGCTGGAGCCACATACAGTAAAGTGGTAAAGCAGCTCCCCCACATATAATAGAACTCTTTAGGCTCTAGATCTTTATATCATTTTCTCTCTTCTTCTCCATGCTATTGTTATCTAATATTTAATTTCTCCCAAGATTTTAAACACTGTCAAGTTAATAATAACAATTTTAACAATAATGTTGTTATTCTTAAGTGCTGTTGAATCAGTTCCGACTCATAGTGACCCTGTGTAGGGTTTCTGAGGAGCAGCCGGTGGGTTTGAACCACAGACCTTGCAGTTCAAACCAACCTTGCAGTCCAGCGCATTACCCTGTAGTACCACACCAGAATTCCAGATTACAGCCTTGGAAATCCTATGGGGCAGTTCTTCTTGGTCCTGCAAAGTTTCTATAAACTGGAATTGACTTGATGGCAATTGGCTACGATTTATATTGAGCCTGGGTTAATGAATTTGCTATGAAGTTTCATTCCAGTACCTGAGGGTTTTTTAGCGAGAGATAGAAATCAATGTACTCTGTGTATTTTAACATATTGCATGTATAAACACACATTCTAAGTAACTATATGGTGTCCTGGTATGGTGCTGTGGAACCAGCAGTGGACTATGAACCACAAGGTCGCTAGTTCAAACCCACCAACCACTCCTTTGACACCCAATACAGGGTCGCTATGATTGGGTTAACAGCACTTAACTCATAGCAACCCTGTATAGGGTGTCCAAGGAGTGGCTGGTAGGTTTGGACCAACAACCTTGTGGTTCATAGTCCACTGCTGATCCTACACATATATATGGAGTCCTGGTGTGGTGCTGTAGGATCAGCAGTGGGCTGTGAGCTCCAAGATTACAACAACATCAATATGTATGAATATATTCTTAGAAAAATATTTAAAGCATGTGAACTATAAAAACAACATTGTCCTTACATACGTGAAACAAAACCAAACCCACTGTCCCTGAGTTAATTTCTAAGTCTGCAAATCTTTTTGAGAGCAGAAAGCTTTATCTTTCTACAGAGAAACAGCTAGTGGATTTGAACTGCTGAACTTGTAGTTAGCAGTCAGTGCTTACCCTACAGGTCCTCCAAAGCTCCTACATAAAGTTCCTGACAATCCCTGTGCTTTACTTATTTGACTAGGTATGAGTGAGGGGTAAATAAGTTATTCAATATTTTAGGAAAGAGAATTCACACGACCACAATGTTCAGTTTAATACTTCCTGCATTTCACAACACACCTCTTGACATTTTGCTAAGCTGTTATTTACTAAAGAGAGAATTTACTTTTTAAAGCATTTAAAATTTTCCTTCCTAATCTTTATACTGTATTCGGGTTTATCCTAACTCATAGCAGAGAAATACCAAAGTAGCATTAAAGTGCCAGAAGCAATTCATTTGTCCCAAGTGATACTAAAATCCATAATATTAACTCTGTCTCTTAAGCCTAAGAGAGGTGGTGCCTAACTTTCTGTCTGGAGAAGTTCCCACTTAGTTGTCTTCCCATCTGCTCCCATTTCTTCTCCACACGTGCCCAGGTGCCAGACTCAGTGTTTTGTTCCGTTTTAGGTTGTGTGGACACGGAAGAAGCTGACATCTATCTGCTCATCGATGGCTCAGGGAACACCCAGCCCACCGACTTCCAAGAAATGAAGACATTTCTGTCAGAGATTGTAGGGATGTTCAACATCGCTCCCCATAAGGTGCGGTTTGGAGCAGTCCAGTACGCCGACACCTGGGACTTGGAATTTGAGATCAATAAATACTCAAACAAGCATGATTTGGGAAAGGCCATTGAGAACATTAGGCAGATGGGTGGCAATATAAAGACAGGTGCGGCCCTGAATTTCACTCTGCAGCTGTTGCAAAAGGCAAAGAAACAGCGAGGAAATAAAGTGCCATGTCACCTTATTGTCCTAACAAATGGCATGTCCAAGGATAGTATCTTGGAGCCCTCGAACAGACTGAGAGAAGAGCACATCAATGTTTATGCTATTGGGGTCAAGGACGCCAACCAAACGCAGCTGCGTGAAATTGCAGGCGAGGAAAAGAGAGCATACTACGTGCATGACTTTGACTCTTTGAAAGACATAAGAAACCAAGTTGTTCAAGAAATCTGCACTAAAGAAGGTAAGAGAAATGGTGTCACGACCATTTGACTTCACATTCACCTTTTGACTTAAGCTCAAAAATTGCCTTCCTGGCAAGAGTTGACAATGATGGTTTAGAGAAATAATATAAATTTCTAAGTTAAGATTTGTTGGCCTGAGTAACTGTGTTTGCTCTCCAGAACAAAAACAAAGGTTCATTATGGCACTGTGGGTTAATGAACTGGACCACAAGGTCAGTTTGAACCAAAAGGTTGGTGGTTCAAGCTCACCATCTGCTCCTTGAAACCCTATACAGGGTCACTATGGGTCAGAGCTGACTCGACGGCACTTAACAACAACAACAACATAGCATTGCTGATATTTGGGAGTTTCTCTACTAAGTACTAATTGGCTTCTTCTCACAGTCCCTGCTAAAATAGGTATGCATGGCATGAACAATGCATACCTAACATGGCAAGTAATTTCAGGTTTGAGAAGTACTTCAGTTTTATTTAAATTGTTTGTAACATTTTTCATGAAATATTTTAGAGTTATATTAGTAGTTTGCAATCAGGAATGATTTTTCCCCATCAGGGGACATTTGACAATGTATGAGTCAGAACTGACTCTACAGCACTTAACAACAACCAAGAGACACTTGTTACAATGTCTAAAGATACTTGTCCTTGTTACAATTGAGGGAATGCGATGAGCATTAAATGGTTAGACAGTCTCCAGTGTCCCACAATGCACAAATAGCCTCCCATAATAAAGAATTAAGTGGTACAACATGTCCATAGTACTAAGGTTGAGAAACCATAAGTTATATATTAAAGCAAATTGTTGTTGTTAAATGCCATCTAGTGGGTTCTGACTCACAGTGACTCTGTATAGGATTTCCAAGGCTGTATGTTTGTGGAAGTCCTGGTGTGGCGCTGCAGGTTAATGCACTGGATTGCAAGGTTGATCTGAACCGCAAGGTCAGTGGTTCAAGCTCAACAAACACTCCTTGGAAACCCTATACAGGGTCACTATGAGTTGGAACCAACTTGACAGCACTTAACAACAAAAATCTTTGCAGGAGCAGAAAGCTTCATCTTCTAAACAGCTAGGTTTAACTGCTGATCTTATGGCTCTCAGTCCAGTGCTTATCTTACAGAGCCACCATGCTCCCTAAAGCAAAAGCAAATTATTAAATAACAAATATAATAGCTTTCAAGGCTTTATTTACTTGGTAACAATCCTGACCAAGGACACACTTAATCTCAATTTAGAATCATTTGTGTTTTGGGTTTTCCCATTCACCCTTTTTTTTTTTTTTTTTTATGTAGCAGATTTGAGTAAATAATCTTATTTCTCTCATGCAGCCTGTAAAGAGATGAAAGCCGACATCATGTTTCTCGTGGACAGTTCTGGTAGTATAGGACCTGAAAACTTCAGCAAAATGAAAACATTTATGAAAAACCTGGTGAGCAAATCTCAGATTGGTGCCGATCGGGTACAAATTGGTGTCGTCCAGTTCAGCGACATCAATAAAGAGGAGTTTCCACTCAACAAATTCATGTCCCATAGTGAAATTTCAGATGCAATAGATCGTATGCCACTCATTGGAGAAACTACTATGACTGGCAGCGCCCTGACCTTTGTGTCTCAATACTTCAGTCCCGCCAAGGGGGCCCGGCCCAATGTCAGGAAGTTTCTCATCCTCATCACGGATGGCCAAGCTCACGACATAGTAAAGGACCCAGCAGTGGCACTTCGGCAAAAAGGTGTCATTATCTACTCTGTAGGGGTGTTTGGTTCCAATGTTACCCAGCTCGAAGAGATCAGCGGGAAGCCGGAGATGGTTTTTTATGTTGAAAATTTTGACATTCTGCAGCACATTGAAGATGATCTTGTTTTTGGAATTTGCAGCCCCCGTGAAGGTAAGCATGGGCACATTCTCTAAAGGAATTATCGAAACATCAGGTGTCAGTGATACTTGTTATTTCTTGAATTGACAGACTCTTATTTGAACATTGCAAACTTTAGTTCAAAATGTATCCTAACGGCTTTTGACCTGCGTGTGAAATGCAACTTTCCTGAATGTAACTGCTGAACTAAGTAGTCTGGTTAGTATGAAGGAACAAATAGCACTGGTGCGATTAATGCTCCATTTAAGAAAAGTCTTAGGCCATGTTCTCTAGAAGCAAAATGTGAGTCCTGGATTCTTGTGGATGTAATTTATGGAGAGGGAGTTCTCAGAGATAAAGAAAGCAGGGAAGGGTACAAGAGGAGAGCAGCAGATGGTCTTAGCTGGAATCCAGCTTCAGCCTCATGAATTACACCAGAGTTGGTCCCTCCTGAAGGCAAGAACCCCTGTGTCGTGGGCTACACATGGACTGCTGAGGTAGACAGTTGAGGTTTATAACCTCCTGCCAAAGGAGGCTCTCATTCGGCCTAGCATCCACCACAAATATATTTTGGCAGTTTATAAAAAGGAACACTTGTATGAAATAACATGTTTTATAAAACAATTGATATTCATTAAATCTTATAAAGGAGGAATTTAGTAAGGCAGAGGCATTCTGGAAAGTCTCTATAAAGGAGATAGATCTTAATGGAGTTTTGAAGACAGAGAGGAACATTGTTCAATTATTCAAATTATGTTCAATTCACACTAGGAAGTTTTATGATCATGGTTAGCATTTTTAGGAAAGAGGAATATACCTGATATGTATTCACTATAATACCACTTGGAACCAAACTGAACTCTTAGTTACTTATTTATTTTTCAGTTTTTATTGTGAACTGAGTGATAGTTTACATGGGAAAACATTGGCTTTACACCATCTTTTCATTGCAATGATTACAATCTCCTTTGTGCATCATCATTCAACAGTATTTGCTTCCAATCCCTTTGGTTTTGTTTGTTCATTTGTTGGGGGGGGGGGATATATACAAAAACACTCAGGAATATATAATTATTTAAACAACCAAAGGGCACATTCTGCAAGACTGCCACCTGGCTGCCAGCACCCAGTCCCTTTCTTTCCATGAGTCTAGAGTCCTCAGCTGCTCATCTCTACCTCTACCTCTGGTGTCATTGCCTCTCTGGATATCGTCCCACATTCCTCTTGTCCAACCTGAACTCTTAGAATGGTCCCAATGCTGAGCCCCTCAGTAGTCCAACCAGACTTTGCAGGGTATCAAAATAACATAGAGACCTTCTTCCTTATTGGAACGATCCTTGCTTAAGAATTTTGTTTAAGGTTCCTGCTGAACCATATGCATAACTTCAAGTCAGTGGGGTAAGCCCATTGAGTATAGGGTTCTTAACAACCCTACCACATAGCCAGCAAGTAACTGGTTAAGAAAGGACATTTGATGTGTCTCTGGGGAGTAGAGATTATTTCTTCAAATCTCATTTCATAAGAATGGATGAATTAACATTTGGAACACACTATTCTAAGTCCTGTAGAGAGAATGTGTGACTCAAGGTCTAAATAACTACTCAACTTAGATTGTAGTTCTCCAGAACAGATGAGTTAGAGCTTGGAACACTGTGGCCTTTGGATGGAACGTGCACTACTCAGGGCTAAAGTTTTAATTGGGTCTTTCCTGCTTGACTTTTCCATGTCCTTGAACCAAGATTAAGAAAGTGAATAGGAGGATAATGTTAGAATAACTTAGTTGTACCAAGTGAGAAATGGGTTTATAGCTACGATAAGGTTCAGTAATAAAAATAGGTAATATTTCAAGAAAGTCAGAAGGGAGAAAAACATAACCTTGAAAAGTCAGCCACCATAGAGCCATGAAAAAATATACAGTGTTATCAAAGTCATCTCTTTCTATCATTGCCCCCAAAGTTGATCTTAATAAAATCTCATAGTGCCTGTGGTTAAAAAAAAAAGAAAGAAAAAAAACACATTCATATGAATGAAAACACATGTTGAAGAAACCATTTATACAAAAAAAAAAAAAAATCACAGAATTGTAAATTATTTTTAAGTTAAAAAATACTTGAAATTTTTATTCCTGGTGATTCTGTGACAAATAGTCCTCTCATACTCCCTGTACTGGACTTCATTTCCTGTCTGCCTTGTCCTACAGTTTCACCTAGTTGAGGTTTACTGTTTACAGGCAGCACAAATGGATTTGTGTTGGTTTGGTTACTAAAGAATTGACATTTCATGTAGAACATGATCTAATGTAAAGGAGACACCAACAATTTTTTTAAATTTTAATGTCACATGGACACTATCCAGGGGGTTGGGGAGAGGAGAGGAGGCATGTGGATACTTTCTGAACCTTCTGTGTAATTTTTCTGTATACCTAAACTGCTCAAAAATGTAATGTTTTTTAAGCAAGTCTCCCAAGGTAACCAAAGCCAATTTCACATGGTTTTCCTTTCTCTTCCTCTTTTAGAATGCAAACGGATTGAAGTTTTGGATGTTGTGTTTGTGATCGATAGCTCCGGCAGCATTGACCATAATGAGTATAAGATCATGAAGGACTTTATGATAGACTTGGTGAAAAAAGCTGATGTTGGCAAGAATCACGTCCAGTTTGGTGCTCTGAAGTATGCTGATCACCCAGAGGTGCTTTTTTATCTCGACAAATTTAGCACCAAAGGGGAGGTGATTTCCATGATCCAGAATGACCAACCCATGGGGGGCAATACTTACACTGCTGAGGCACTAAGCTACTCAGATCACATGTTCACCGAAGCCAGGGGCAGCCGCCTACACAAGGGTGTCCCCCAGGTTCTCATTGTGATCACTGATGGGGAATCCCATGATTCAGATAAACTCAATGCCACAGCAAAGGCCTTGAGGGACAAGGGCATTCTTGTCCTGGCTGTGGGAATTGCTGGTGCCAATCCTGTGGAGCTGTTAGGCATGGCAGGGTCAAGTGACAAGTACTACTTTGTGGAGACTTTTGGAGGCCTGAAGGGGATAGTTTCAGATGTGTCAGCCAGTGTCTGCAACTCTTCAAAAGTCGGTAAGGTTTGTCAATTAATATTTTCCTAACATTAACAGAGGGCCAAATGAGGGATAAGCCAAAGTCAGGAGCAAGTTCTACAGAAAGGAAAAAGAATCCCTAAGAGTTTCGTAGAACTTCCCACAATTACAGAATCTCTCAATGCTGGAAAGACTTCAGGAACATTTAATTTGGCCTTCACTCCAAGCACTGGACTGCGAATCACAAGGTCAGTGATTCAAGCCTACCAGCTGCTCTGGGGGAGAAAGATGAGGCTTTCTGTGCCTGCAAAGATATAAAAAGCCTCAGAAACCCTGTACTAACTCAATGATATTTAACAACAACTCCAAAGAGAAATACCTTCTACAATATTCCTACTCACTTTTGCCTAAATTCATCTTTGTTGTTAAGTGCCGTCAAATCAGTCCTGACTCAAAGCGACCCTGTATGGGATTTCTGAAGAGCAGCTGGTAAATTTGAACTGTTGACCTTGGGGTTCAAACTGACCTGGCAGTTCAGTGCTTATCCCACAGCACCAAACCAGGACTCCAAACTCATCTAATGATGAGGAATTCACAATTTTTGAATATGCTTTATTTCTTAGAACATACATTTACTTGCATGTTATTTTCACCCACTAGGTTTTCTTCCTGCGGTTTACACAGGAAGTCAGACTCCATCTCCTCTTAAGAACCAGCATCACTGTCTCAAGTCTTTCCTCCCACAGGCTACATTCCTCAGTTCCTTCATCTACTTAGACTATGGCATAAACTTTTTTAAGATGGGAAACCCAGCTTTAAATGCTCTATTCTAGCCAAGATGCTTCCAAAGAAGACTACAGTGGGATACCCTTTACCCAGGATGCTGTGTCTCTGTTCTGACAACTAATTTCATTGCAACATTCATTTATTTATATATTTAGTCCACACTTTACACTTTTGGTTCAGAAAGAAATTGTAACTTTCTTAAAATTCCTTGAGGGAGCCCTGGTGGCATACAGATTACTCGTTGGGCTGTTAAACTGAAAGGTTCAAATCCACTAGTCACTTCATGGGAGAAAATTTGAGGCTTTCTGCTCTCATAAAGATGTATAGCCTTGGAAAGCCTATACAGGGTTGCTATGAGTCTGAACTGATTCAATGGCACACAACAACAACAGCAAAATTTCTCAGAGTCCCTGGTTGGTGCCAATGGTTAAGTGCTGGACTACTAACTAAAACGTTGGCAGTATAAGCCCACCCAGAGATGCCTCAAAGGCAGGCCTGGTGATTTGCTTCTGAAAGGTCACCCTATGGAGAAAGATCTTTGCTGCACACAGGGGGTCACCATGAGTCCAAATCGACTCAACAGCAATTAACAACAAAATTTCTTAGTATTTGTACTGAAATGTATTTTACTAAAAATATAATTTTTATTAGATGAATCCTATTAATCCAGGATTCCAACATCTTGGTACAGTTCTTATTTAATAATTACTTATTTAACTTCTTTGATTTTCCTATGCCTTCTTTCTTTACATTGCAGCTACTATATATTTTTTTTTTTCACAAAACTAACAAAAATCTTTGTGAGTGTGAGTGGAAATGGGGCAAAACTGTTCAACTGCTTGGGCCAGAAAGTTGATCTGCCCTTCTCAAATCTCAAAAATGAATTGTCCTTCTACAGTACCCTGGAGAAACAGACATAACATTTTTCATATCAAAAGCTCTCTTTAGGGCAGAAAAAGAGTACTTATATTTGAATTCCTATGTTTGGATCTGAAAGAAAAGGATTTAATGAGGTAGCCAATTGCTGAAGGATCTTTTTGCCATATTGCTTTTGATTTTATTTTTCCTTATCTCTCCTTCAGGAATCTCAGTCACATTTCATCTTTCCTGAAGCTAAAATGAGAATTAAGCTGGGCCAGTGGTGGGGTCAATGGGGAATTAAAAAAAAATGATAATGCTTACCAGAAGACTAAGGGACATACATGAGTGGGGTGCCAAGCATACCTCATTCATCAGCAATGCTCTCATATTCTTTTTGTTTTGTATTTGCTGTGTTAATGCAAGGGAAACATTTCTAATCTATTGTGCATTGTTTATCTCAAAATATTTTTCTCAAGTAAATACTTTTATATGTACCCAAAAGGGGGTAATGAAGAGGAAAACTTGCCAAACATAGGCCTAAGGCATGATTTTAAAACTCTTCTTCAGTTTCTCCTATAAACCAGAAAAGTTGGCTCACCTAAGAAGGCCAAGTCAATGATACAAACCATCTGTCTCTTCATTTGAATCCCACAATAGATGTGTATTTTGTTTTTCTTTGCTGTGCTACTCCTATCATTTGGTTTTTAGTAGGGATAAATCTGTAGCACCTGCTCCAATTCTGGGAAAAGAAAATGGCAGAAGACAGACAGAGCAAACTCAGATGTATCAAAGGGTATAAGGTATATAAAGGTGCTTGTGGTTATTGCTGCATTCCCCAAATGGTCTTTGATTTTTAATTTATCCCTAATTAATGTGACCACAGAGTAAGATAAGACAAGAATCTACTTTCATAAATATCCTTGTTTATATAGATGCAAGTATCAAATTTACTTTTGGTAAATGACAGAATAATAGCAATGTGATATTTATTGTTGCTGTGTTCCTTCTCCTCTTCTTTGTAGATTGTGAAATTGAAAAGGTAGATCTTGTTTTCCTTATGGATGGCTCTAATAGTATTCAACCACATGATTTCAAGAAGATGAAGGAATTTTTGGTATCTGTGGTTCAAGACTTTGATGTCAGCCTCAACAGAGTGCGTATAGGAGTGGCCCAGTTTAGTAATATCTATCGCCCAGAGTTTTCACTGGGAACTTTCACAGGTGAAAAGATTGCATTGCAAATTCAAAACATCGAACAGATCTTCGGGTTCACTCACATCGGCGCTGCTCTCCGGCAGGTGGAACATTACTTCCGGTCGGACATGGGCAGTAGGATCAATGTAGGTACCCCACAGGTGCTGCTGGTCCTCACTGATGGACAATCCCAAGACGAGGTGGCTCAGGATGCAGAAAACCTGAGACAGAAGGGTATCGACATCTACTCCGTGGGCATCGGGGATGTGGATGACCAGCAGCTCATTCAGATCACTGGGACCGCAGAGAAAAAACTAACGGTGGATAATTTCGACGAACTCAGCAAGGTCAAAAAAAGAATAGTTCGCAACATCTGTACCTCGGGCGGTGAGAGTAGTAAGTATAAAATGAGTTCTTCATATTTATTCCCCCACCCTCTGACTAGAATGACATTTCCCTCAAGCTCTATTTCCATCTTCTGGCGCTGGTGGGAGAATTTGGATTTTGTGCCTGTGGATTTCAAATTCAATTTTTCACAGCTATCAAGCATTTTTTGTGTATCATCTGTGAATTAAGAAATGGAGTGCTTGAGAGCTTGTGTCTTTTTCTCTCCCTTTCCTGAGAGAGCATGCCTTTTTTGTGAAAAGGAAATTTAGACTTCAGAAAGTGTGAGGAAAAGGTCCTTGTTTACAGTCTGATTGATTTCAGAGGTTTAAGGAGAAGTCTCCAGAACAAAAAATTAACTAGTTGGTGGATTTCAGTTGTCTAGCAATAGAACTGACTGGGCTGTTGAGTGTTTTGTTACAGGTATGTAAGGAATATTCTAGAAGTTCATACCTTTTTTATGAAACTTTATTTCAAGAGTATTTTCTTAAAAATTAGTACATTTTGACAGTTTTCCAACAGATAGAAGTATAGTCTTGAAGAAGTGTAACTATAATATATAGATCTTGTTAAGTGCTGTGAAATCCTGACTCAAAGCCACCCTGTGTGAAGTTTCCAAGGAGTGACAGAAGGATATATATATGTGTGTGTGTGTATATGTATGTATGTATGTATGTTGTTGTTGTTGTTAAGTGTCGTCAAACCAGTTCTGACCCATAGCGACCCTGTATAGGGTTCCCAAGAAGCAAATGGTAAGTTTAAACCACCGACCTTGTGGCTCAAACCCACCCTGTGGCTGAGTGCTTATATGTATTTGGAGCCCTGGTGAGGCACTGCGGGTTAATGCATTGGACTGCAAGGTCAGTTTGTATATATGTATGTGTGTGTGTGT